ACACGTTAGTTATTTCAAGAAGGTTGCACTCTACTATTCTATAAGCTAGCAAACTGTAAATACAGAACTGTAAAGCCATTCTTGAGATGAAATTCAACTCATCATTTCTAAAAACATATTCATAAAATTGTATAGAAATCTGCCAAGAAAAAACAGAATCTTAATACGACAACTTTGCAGACCGTGACTGTATTCCATCTATTTAATATTCATGTTGAAAGATACTTAAAATAATTTAATTTAATTTTCTAGCATATACAACTTTCTTCATTCATATTTGCATAATAGAGACCACATTGAGAAAATCCTTGGTTTAAAGTAGGCTTCCTTCTTCTTGGCACTTTCCTTCTTTTGCCATCTTCTAATCTTTATAGTTTGTTCCGGATGTAATCTTTATAGTTTGTCCCGGATGTAATCTTTATAGTTTGTTCCGGATGTAATCTTTATAGTTTGTTCCGGATGTAATCTTTATAGTTTGTCCCGGATGTAATTTTTATAGTTTGTCAGTAAACTATCATTCTGTATTATATGGCATAACTTTTTTTTAAATTTGTGTATTTTTTAACTTCCCTTTGTACCAAAGGACAAAGGGCTGAAAATTTAAAACCGTTGACCAACTTTACCCCCTCCCCCCCGCCACCAACCAACACGTGTTTCACAGCTGGGGTCTCCATTTGTCAGAGCAGTGTGTCATTTGGGAGTAGGGTGTGGGTAACACAATCACTCTCGTTTCCTTTGAATGACCCCTCTTTCTCTTCCTCCTCCCACACCTCCTTCCCTGTGGAGGAAAACAAGGAGATCGGAAAGGCACATGGATTCCGTCTTTTCGCAGCTACACGGTCAGTTGAGAGAGAAAAATGGGCTTGCCACTCGCCAGGTTTGGCGGGGCGACCAAAAAGTCATGGGAACTGACTTCCGCTCTTCCCAGCAGTACTTCAGTCTCCATAAAAATCAAGTGACATTTGAGATACACTTGTGTACTCTCGTTCACCAAGCTAATTAGAGACGAGATTTCATTCTGGCGGTCATAAGGGACGAGAACTGTACACTGTTTGCTTTGCTCCCATCATTTTATGACATTTCATGTTACTTCTGTTGTACTTATAGTTACCTTCATTCTCATGTGTTACTTGTGACTCTAACCCCCTTACTGACGTTATTTTTATTATTACCGGGCAGTATTGTCATTTTCTGATATGTTTCATGATAACATAGGCTTAACTCTTTGTGGTGGACTTACAACAGTTACTATTTTTATCCAGTAAAAGTTTACATGTTAGTGATAAAAGATTACAGTTGAAAGATGCCCGTAATTCATCTACTGTTCACTAGGCTTCCTGTTTACAGATTTAAAAAACAAAGTTTTCAGGCGTTACCAGAACACGTGCAGAAAGCGCATATTGAGAAGATACGTGAAACTATTACCACTTACCATAGATATATAAAGCTATTTACATTTCAGTAAGAGAGAAGTTAAAAAAACATATTCACTAAAATGTTTTAATTTAAATGTTTTATTTTGTTCATCACTTTTTTTCTAGCTAAGTTTTTAGTTTAACTATCTAAGGATTAATAAATTCCATGTATAACTAGTAAAGCTGAAACGTTACTGATTAGACATTCTAAATATTTTAAACCTGCAGTCAACAAGACTCATACTTTTGTTAGCACTAATAGTACAGGTTCCTCTAAGAGAGCTTGCTGACATATTGTAATATCCATCATAAGAGGCTAAACCTTATCCAAAACCATTAAAAAAAATTGTTTAACGCATCACGGATGAGTGAGATGTGAATCTTAAACACTAAGAAATTTAATGGGAGTACAGTGTGAGTGCAAATTTAAATCCGGTACTGTGCTCTAAATATATCCAGAAATATTACGCATGTTACGTCACTGAAATGTCATGTATTAAACAACTAGTCCTGGCGTTTAAGCACAAAAGCTCAACATTTTGATTGAGTTTAAAGATGAAATACATTTTTTTTGCAGAAAGGCAGTAGAGATATTTTCACTTTCCACATTTTGAACGATACGACAATGGCTAATTTACCAAAATAAATTTGAATACTTTATAATATTTTCATAATTTATATTTATCGCATTATTCGTGAAAGACGTTGGTCACAACAGTATAATGAAGGTTTGGAATTATAAAGACAACTCATTATTACTTTTTTATTTGAAAGTCATTTCATTTCTGGACAGTTTAAGAAATTATAACAAAACCATCATAACCTCAGAAATATATCCTTATACCTGATAGTTTACTCACTTAATTACACTGGCTTATTGCTGGAATTCTTGCTTAAAGTGTGTGATGTAACAGATTTTATGTTTCTGAACATGTGAGCAGAATTCTGCATGTGTCATTAAGCTGTGAACCTAAAGTATAAGCAGCGTGAAACCTTTTAAACACTTTTAAACATAAAAATGTTCGAGTTATATTAAGAGAGCCTAACACACAGACAATATACGTGTGTGATGACACGATATGTACATACTTTAGTCACCACATCTATCAAAACGAGATCAACGTCGGGCCCAGGGGGCGACGAGTAACTGTCCGGGCTGGAAAAAAACAACAACAACAGCAGCTGTGTTATTTCGGGGAAAGATTTCTTTGTCTCTGACTTTCATTGTTATTCAATTACATATGGTGTTGACATTAAAACTTTCAAACGTGGGAGAATATCTAAAGGATCACACATGGCTCGCTGTTATTAATTTATAAATTTCCCAAGCTCGATGTTTACCTCTTGTTTCAAGCACCATCATTTTTAACATTACATTTACTGAAGCTTAAACAAAAGGGACCTTTGTACTGGTTTCACCTCCAAGTGAGGATGAACTCGCACATTTAACCTTACAAGTGAAATAATAATAAAAAAAAAATGTTGAGGTCATAGTTATAAGTCTTACAAATCCGAATCCTCCTACATACAGAGACTCAGAAGTTAATGAGCAATTCTGTACAAAACTAGTACAAAGATCAACTCGGAAGATACGATATTTGTGTTATGAAATCATTAATATTTCAAACAACATGTACAAATACAAAACTCACATGTACAAACAAGTCAGTACGTGTATGTGTATAACTTACACATTTCTATATCATAAAAGTGCGTGTGTTTAAATTATTAATAATGTTATCGTGTTACTTGAAATCAAAGACCCTTTTCTACAGAGGACAAACAAGATTTGAGATAACAGCTATGGCGGCGAATGACACGACACATTTCCATTTTAATTGACTGTACAGTGTCTTAATCATTTTAATTACTAGTTAATCCAACTGCATTCCAGTAAGTGTTTTACTTTTTTTTCCATTTAAAGAAACTTGTTAGTGGTTCATTTATTACTTTTAGAATTGAAGTTTTGTCTTGAGTTTTATATTCAAAGCACAATGTAGCATCAAACTTAAAAATACCATCCCTTATAAATTTTAATGCTTTGATACAGAACAATAATATCAAAAACATGATAACTTTTTATTAATTTATTCTTAAAAATAAAAAGTTTGAAGCATTTGTTTTTATTTTGGGAAAATTTCATGTACGTTTAAAATGTATTTGTGAACATACCAACAGATGGCGATAGACAACAGTTTATATATTTACTATTAGCATGTCATGCATGAGAATGGACCTTAGATACTGTTTTCGGCAAATATTTCTCGAAATAAATGACAAGAATTTCCGTGATATGAGTTGTGGCTATGATTAAAAAAATTCTAATCAAACCGTTTCAATACTGTTTTTTCTACTAGAGTTTTACAATATGTACAGAGCATTAAGATTAGAGAATTAATCTTATTCGTGGTTAAGCAAATGCATTTAAGGGCATTAAGATTAGAAAATTAGTTTTATTTTTGATTATGTAATCACATTAAATTTAGAGAATTAGTCCTATTCACGATTAACCAATCATATTTAAGGACATTACAATTAGAGGATTAGTCTTATTTATGATTAACCAATTACATTTAAGGGCATTAAGATTAGAGGATTATTCCTATTCACGATTAACCAATCATATTTAATAGCATTAAAATTAGAAGATTAGTCCTATTCATGATTAACCAATTATATTTAAGGACATTAAGATTAGAATATTAGCCCAATTCATAATTAACCAATTACATTTAAGGGCATTAAGATTACAAGATTAGTCCTATTCAAAATTAACCAATTACATTTAATGGCATTAAGATTAGAAGATTAGTTCTATTCAAAATTAACCAACTGCATTTAATGGCATTAAGATTAGAAGATTAGTCCTATTCAAAACTAACCATTTACATTTAATGGCATTAAGATTAGAAGATTAGTTCTATTCAAAATTAACCAATTGCATTTAATGGCATCAAGATTAGAAGATTAGTCCTATTCAAAATTAACCATTTACATTTAATGTCATTAAGATTAGAAGATTAGTCCTATTCAAAATTAACCATTTACATTTAATGTCATTAAGATTAGAAGATTAGTCCTATTCAAAATTAACCATTTACATTTAATGGCATTAAGATTAGAAGATTAGTCCTATTCAAAATTAACCATTTATATTTAATGGCATTAAGACTGGAGGATTAATCCTGTTCGTGATCAAAAGCAATCACATTTATACCATTTGTTTCCCTAGTATAGCGAATCTGAGAAAAACCAGGATTTAGTTATTGTTACTAATGCTATAATGTTTCTTATCTGGTTTATTGATTAAACCATTCACATTAGTATTGTAAAACTTGAACTGAAGCAAGGTGTTTGCGTTGCAGTTAACCAAACATTTTCCTTCTTAGACAAACTAATTCGCACCTCTGATGGGTCAGTAGTAAGTTCACGGATTTCGATTCCCTGTGGTGGACAGACCTTAGATAGCCATTGTGTGGCTTTGAGATAAAACAAATATATAACAAACAAACCAAGTTATTTCTCAAGTAAGTGTGTTCGTTTTTTCCTTTTATGTTCTTACAGTTTTTGTTCCTTTTTTTCCAGTTTGATGCTGAAAGTAGCGAGGAGAACGATAAAATTCAACAGTGGCAACAGGAACAAATCCATCGCCAACAGCAACAGTTAGTCCAACAACAACAAAAAATCCTGGAACTCCAGGTAGGCCCAAATCCCACGTGATTTCTACATAATATAATGAAACCTTACCCCTCGTACACACACAACAGAGTCATTGTTGTTTATCCCCAGAATAATGTTTTTCAATACTAAACGTTCTTGTTAAAAAAAAAAAAAAAGACTGAGATCGTAACTCCTTCATCCCCATATACAATCATTCATCACTTTTCAGAACACAGACTGTACATCTGGTTTTTGTCGTATTATTTTATAGTGTTGCTTAATGAAGTGTAATGTAACTGATCTCTTGGTACTTTCTCACGTCTGTAATGTTCACCATTAAACACAACCCTTTCAGGGACGAAGGACGGGAAGAAGTTCCGGAAGATAAAGCGATCGTACCGGTTTAGTAGATATAGTAAATCTCACGTCATTTGTTGGCATTTATTTTATAACAAAACCACACTGGGCCATCTGCTGTGTTCACCGCCGGGAATCGAAACTCGGGTTTTAGCATTGTACTTCTGTAAACTTATCGCTATCCCATCGAGGAACGTTTATTCAATAAGACGATTCAAATGCTTTATTTCGGGATATAACTGGCATTACGTATCAAATAATTATAAACTTGGTGGCAGGGGTTTTTCTAGCGTGCAGTTGATTCCACTTGAACTTAATTATATGAGTGAATTTTCAAGTGCACAAATATTTTTACAGGTGTACAATTTGTGTTTTATAATCTTAAATATGTTTTTTTTTAATATTTATTTTCATTCCATAGTTGATAAATAAATGTATTTACTGGAATATTTTTCATGGTTTGGATCGGTTGTAACAAGGTCTGTATATATGAGGTGTAATAAGGCGTC